AATACCATGCTCTAAGACAAAGAGTCGTAAACTTTCCCTCCAAAATTGAAAGTCACCATTGGCTCTGTGACCTCCCGGAGGTGTCAGCTCAATAGGAGATAAAGCTCTCACATCAGTGACCCGCCTCAGTCTAGGATCTCAGCTGATATCTCTCTTAGCTCTTTTTCACTTTCCACTGGGAAGAAACGGCCAATCACCATCGAGTCAGAACATCTTTGGAATTCATCACTCTTCAAGCCCGGAAGAACGTGATCGCAAGTCCAAAACCTTGAAACCATCAAGACTTTCATCCGAGACTGCATCCGGACACTCGTCAACGACCAAGGCAATGCAAGTATTGTACATTTAACCAAACGAAACAGAGGTTTAGTATAAGCTGTAGACCCCGTTCTAAAATGGCACTGATGGTTTCACTCAGGTGGTTCTGACTCATTTTCCATAACTGCCTTCTCTGGTTTCTCTAATGGCTTCATTCATCCACTGAAAAAGGGGGGTCGTCTTATAATCAGGGTCATCTTATATTTGGGCCAATACGGTAATTGTAATTAATGGCGTGGACTCTTCCCCTTTCCCTTCCAGATGCCAAATTTATGGGAGGAGAGCATTCAAATGAATCACGCAACGTGATTTACTAATGTTTGCACTAGTCAAATTACTGGTATTTGCGCCATTATTTAACGCCCAAAAAAAATCATGTCTTAAAGCAGGCGGTAATTTGCGCTGCTCTTGGTAGATTGTGTTGGTCATTATGGAAATGATCTGGCTGTGTGCGCATTGTCAGTAAATCACCTGCAGAATTTCCCCTCCCATCGGCTCTTTTATGGAATTGCGCTCTAGCGCTAATTTGTCGTTTAGTAAATCTGCCCTTGATGTTTAAATATGCAAATGAGGCTAATCAAATTAAATATAAACTAATTTGCATGTACTTTTTTCACTCCATACATCAGAAAATACAGTCAACAGCCATACAAATATAATTTGATATTTTTAGGAATATAACGTTGTTTAAATGATGTTGCTAAAAATAACATTAGTTTGTGTATTTGGTGTACCCTTTAAAATCAGGCAAATGATATATGAACAAACTTCAAAATATAGATTAAATACAACTACACTGTTGGTGTAGAGGAGGAAAAACTCATTTTGAGAAAACAGCCTATAAAGATATGTACTGTAATTGAAATCTACAGACACAAATGGATAAAGTGCAATAAAACAAATACTTAAATGTGTATTTTGGATGTTTTCTTTTTTCTAGTCTGAAACAATACATTATAGCCAAATATATAATAGGCCAAAATTTCAAAAGGATTTTGCCTGTAGTGTCTTGCTTTAAAGCGGTAAGGTATGTGAATGGGTAATTAACACAACCTGGGTGCTAAAAGCATATTTAACTCCCTGAAAAATGTGCCTCCTTTTCATACGCAGATGAGGAGAAGTGACAGCAACAGCCTGGAGACTAAAATGCTCTCTGGCAGCCATTAGTGACGCTGAGGGTGCTAATTGAGCCCAATGAGGACACGGTCCAGGCTGTGATTGTCCTGGTGAGTGAGATTATCCCTCAGGCCGCACACTAGTCAATTCAATGAACCGCTGTGCTGTAATTTACTGCTTCACTATTAATCTCTCTAAAAATCCTTCTGCAATCTTGTTTTTTCCTAGTATGGCATCTTATGGGAAGACAAATAATGTTAAAGGAATACTTCACTCTAAAATGAAAATCACCCTTATTTTGCTCCAAACCCCTTGAGTTTGCTTCTCCTCTTCAGTGCTGCTCTTTTTCATTTAGTGAAAGTGAATGAAGCAAGACGCTGTCACGCTCCAAAAACAGTAAATGTTCTTCTTAAAGTTCAACAATATCCCTCTCCATTCAGTCTCATTAAATGGAAACCAGCAGTGTGATTTTTTTTATTTTTTTTTGTAATGCACAGAAGGAAACAAAATGGGGTTTGATCTTATAGTTCAGTAATTAAATTTTTAACTGTTGGGTGAATGAACCTTTTAACAATAAAGTTTGGCAGAAATGTTTTACTAGTTGTGCCATAAGGCAGTGTTGTTTTAAGTAAATCTAAAACTAGTAAAAATGTTTTTGTAAATTGAAATAAAGCTGAAATAATACAAAATATAAATATTAGATGAAAACTTAAACAACGTAAAACACACACACACACACACACACACACACACACACAGCATAAATTAGAAATGTTGCCTTGGCAAGTAACTGAAATAAACAATGTTTAAGTAATAAAATAACTAAAACTAAAATAAAAATTGACTAAAGCTAAATAGAAATATAAGGAAAAATACCAAAAGCACATAACAAAACTACTAAACCTAAACTAAAATTAAAATAAAATCAGAAAGGGAAAAAAGCTAATTAAAAATAAATACTATAATAGTTTATAAATAATACTAAAATAACACTGTCTTCATGTGAACTAACATGTCTTTTCTCAAGCTTTTAACTAAGTAACTTACTGAAAGAAAAGGTCCAAAAGCGAATATAAGACATGCAATTTTTGCATTGCACACAAGTGAAAGTCAGCTGGTCATTATCATCAAATAATAATAAATAATAAAAAATAAATAAGATAAAGCACACCTGCTCACTGTAAACAATCCATCTTATATATGTACAGCTATGTGCATACAAAAATAAAACAAATTTTTATTAATCCTTAAAAAATAAATATTATTATACAGTACATTATTCTAAATGATTGTTATTATAAAAAATATCTGATAATAAAAATATTTGATAACAGAAAGCTGTGACTTATCAATCAGAATCAAGTATTCCAGAGAGTTGTGCAAGTCCAACAAACTAATCAATCTATCACAAAGATGGATGAACATCTTTAATCTTGATTGATTCTATGTTTCACAATGTTCAAGGCTTTATATGAAAAGAGAAAGCTGTTGAATGCTAGCTGTTGTGCTTTGATTTAGTGGTCATTAGCTGCAGAGAGAGGTTCATTAATCCACATGAATGTACGCTGCACTTTCTTAAAAGTCCCAACTTCAAAGGAGGTTCCCTGAGACGGCAGAACACAGCTCATCTTCATGAGGATTTCGGAATATGGATGCTAGTGCACTTATGTTAGCGTGTCGAATAGAGACGGAGATGGACACAGACGCGTGAGGGGGCGGCTCAGCCTGTGTTTTTGTTTGCTTATGTGCGAGGGAGAGAAGTGTGTGCCAGCACATGTGTGTGTATTTGCGGATGTAAGTGTTTTGGTGCTATATTTACGCAGGGGTGTTTGTCCCGTCACGGCCTGTGGGTTTAGCGCACTGCATTGACCGCAGCTGGATGGTAGACGCTGCCGGAGCCGTATTTATTCCAATCGGATAAATAAAACAGACCTTCCCACTCTCATGTCTTCCCACACTCTCACCCCATCAGCACCGCCGATGTTCAGCGATGCCCACACCCAACGCTCAGCTAATGACAGAGCACATTACCAACCGCTATCCTCACCTAATTTGCACAGTTTATTTATGAAACATCATGTGTCAGGCAACTTTCCTTGTTTGGAGGAAGGAAAATGCGCTCTAATATGGATTCTCAGCACTAAGAATAACATTTGAGATTAACTCACCGAAATACAGATATCTCTCAAATTAGAAATAGCAGCAGCGTTCACAATGAACACGGGTTAAACATCAAAGGAGAGTAAAAAAAACAAAAACATCTGGGATTTATCATTTATCTAGGTTTAACATTTATCTAGGATCCCTAAAATATATAGAGAACATTCTTTGATAAAGCCACCAAAACTAAAAGTATGAATACCAAAACTATATATATATATATATATATATATATATATATTAGTGCTGTCAAATGATTAATCCTGAAATAAATGAACTTTTCCATGACATTCTAATTTATTGAGATGCACCTGTATATTTATTATGTATATAAATACACACACATGCATACATACATATACATACATACAGTACATACATACATACATACATACATACAGTATTTCACAGAAGTGAGTACACCCCTCACATTTTTGTAAATATTTAATTATATCTTTTCATGTGACAACACTGAAGAAATGACACTTTGCTACAATGTAAAGTAGTGAGTGTCAGCTTGTATAACAGTGTAAATTTGCTGTCCCCTCAAAATAACTCAACACACAGCCATTAATGTCTAAACCACTGGCCACAAAAGTGAGTACACCCCTAAGTGAAAATGTCCAAATTGGGCCCAAAGTGTCAATATTTTGTGTGGCCACCATTATTTTCCAGCACTGCCTTAACCCTCTTGGGCATGGAGTTCACCAGAGCTTCACAGGTTACCACTGGAGTCCTCTTCCACTCCTCCATGATGACATCACAGAGCTGATGGATGTTAGAGACCTTGCACTCCTCCACAGATGCTCAATAGGGTTTAGGTCTGGAGACATGCTTGGCCAATCCATCACCTTTACCCTCAGCTTCTTTAGCAAGGCAGTGGTCGTCTTGGATCTTATAGCCCACGCCATCTTTATGTAGAGCAACAATTCTTTTTTTCAATCCTCAGAGAGTTCTTTGCCATGAGGTGCCATGTTGAACTTCCAGTGACCAGTATGAGAGAGTGAGAGCGATAAACACCAAATTTAACACACCTGCTCCCCATTCACACCTGAGACCTTGTAACAGTATATATATATATACATGTTTTTAAAAGAAGTCACTTCCGCTTACCAAGCCTGCATTTATTTGACCCAAATCACAGAAGTAATTTGTAATAATGTGAATTTTTTTTTTTACAATTTAAAATAAGCTTTTTTTTATTTGAATATATTTAAAAATGTAATTTATTCCTGTTATACGAATTTTCAGCATCATTACTCCAGTCTTCAGCATCACATGATCCTTCAGAAATCATTCTAATATGATGATTTGCTGCTCTAGAAACATTTATTATTATAATTATTAATAATGTTAAACACATTCTCTGATGAATAAAAAGGTCAAAAGAACAACATTTTGTTGAAGAGAGAAAGAAAGCATTTGTAACAAAATTATTGTTTTTGCAGAATTTATCAAAAACTAATTTCATATACATATTTATGCCCCAATCTCCATAACTTCCAAAAACGAGACTGAGATTGTAAATTTTGTGTATATGGCAGACAGAGTCACTTACACATAAATAAAAACAGTAAAGTGAACATTTAGGTATTTTATAATCTTATTTTTGGGTAACTACATCTCTTTGTTATCTTCTAATTCTCTACTGCCATATAATGTGTGGCTTGTGGTTTTGGTTTAGGTCATGTAACCGTGTTAATTGTCAAAGCGAGATAATCCTACTGATCACTGTTCTTCATCTTGCTCACAGCTGATGAATCTCGCTTGTATGACACATTAAGAGATGATATTGCTTCAAGATCCAACTAGAAGTAATACTGTGATATCCGCCATGACAGTTTCGAGTCCTTCCCTGATCTCAAGAACAGCACTGCTGGGTTGTGCTGAGTCGTTATGAAAAGATCAACACAAGCTCCCACGCAAGACATGGACGAGGAACACCATTTCCAACGATGCCCTGGGTCAGCTGCCATAGAAACGTTCATTCACCTTTTGAGATGAGCCTTAGTTTTAAAGAAAACTTGAGGAAAGTTCATGCTTAAAAAAAAAACAACTTCTAAAACTGACAACTAGATCTAATATTTGAAATATAAGCAAACACCATTAATATTTGAAATAAAACATCATATAAAAGTGGCTGCAAATGTTGTCAACTTTTTAAAATATCACATTACTTAACTAATTCACCAGATGAATAGAAAGAACATATTTCAGCACGTGGTAATTTGACGGGGTGGGCTGTGTGTATTTTGGCGCACTCACTTTCCTGCAGCGTAGACCTCTGCCGTGTCGAACAGATTGATCCCGTTCTCGTATGCCAGAGTCATCAGCTGCTCTGCAATCTGTCAGAATGAAGGAAGGGAGAGGATCCAGCATTCAAGGTGTTGCAGTCTATTCCATTATTAAAAGCTGTATTCTGCACTGTGCTACTCTATAAGTCATCTTTAATGTGTTTAGGTACATTTACAGTGCACGCTGGAAAATAAAAACTACTGCAAGCTGAATAGTGTATTAGCAGAGAAAAATTGCGTCTATAAATGCACTATTTGAATGTTTAATTTCAAAGCAAAATAAAGCCTTATGCACTTGATACTTCCCCCAAACAATGTTGTTTCAAATTACACTGTAATTATAAGATATAAGATCTAGATCTAGAACTATAAAATCAAATTACACTGTAATTTACACTGTACACTGAATAATTTAAAAAAATGTAATAAAAATTTAGATTTTTTTTTTATCAACACAATATGAATGGTGATTTATGGAAGAATGCTATATAATCATAATATAATATTAGAATAGTATAGTTTTTTTAAAGTTGGAAAACATTTATATAATTATATAAATATATACAAGTTATAAACTTTTCAAAATAAAACCTCAGATGAACAACACATGACATATCACAACGTCGCATTATCTATTTAGCAAAAATAAAGCCAATATGGAAAATCCATGGGTGTCAAACTAAGGACACTGATTCAGCTAATTGTAGATCCACTTTTAGCAGCAATAACTTGAAGTAATAATTTTCGGTATTACTTTATCAGTCTCTCACATCGTTCTGGAGGAATTTTGGCCGACTCTTCTTTACAACGTTGCTCCAGTTTATTGAGGTTTGCGGGCATTTGTTTACGACCTGCCAATTACCAGATGATTAGATGTCCTAATACAGAAAACCATGGAATTCAATAGGGTGTCCTTTCTTTTTCACATGACACTATATATATATATATATATATATATATATAGGTCTGAATACTTTCCGTACCCACTGTATATATGGAGAGAGAGATCTGGGTATATTTAGATATGTATTTATTAAGTAAGGGTTTATCAGTCTTAAATAAAAATAAATAAATCTATAAATAACAATAGAAAAGACAATTTAAGACTTCTTCATACATTTTACGGACACATTGTTTAAGAGTTAGTTCACCAAAAAAAAAAATTCCATCATTTACCAACCATCATGATGTGCTAAACCAGTATTATGTTTTTCATCTACAATGTTTAACTTCAAAACATTTAAATGTTGCACTGCAATCATTAGACCAATTACGTTTTGGCATCACTGGCACCAAACCTGGTGCAAAGCGTCTAAATGAGCAATAAATGAGGTCTGATTTTCACTTAATAATTTTTTTTTCAATGTTTGACAATATAAAACACATTGTGTTCCATGGAAGAAATAAAACTTGTTTGGAAAGGCAAGAGGGTGAGTAAATGATGACAGGACATTCATTTTTGGGTGAACTATTCCTGTAAGTGTACAAGAATATAAAAGCTCACATCAGGACCGGTCAGTGTTTACACTCATCATACCTCATCTGTGATCTGTCCTCCAAATGTCACCCATGTTCCTGTAAAGAGATCTAGAATCAGTCACTGCTTTTCACAAGATAAACCAGCTTTAAATGATTATCAGTGATCCACAAATGACACTATAAAGAGTAAAGCCTTAAGATGAAGCTACAGATAACATGGATAATCTTTAATGCCCAGCTCAAGAGAACAGAACAACACTGGCTGCATGGTGCAGATTTCTGCTGTCTGCCACTACTAGCAATTCAGTTTGAAGAAAATCCATCTCGTGACAAAAAGACTACAAAAGCTTGTATTGTTGGTTGCAGGTTTCCTTATCTACTTCACAAAAGGGCTTGATGAGGAGGCCATAAACGTACCTAATCCAAGACATGAGACTCTCAGGCCCGACTTCCCCAGGTTTCTGGAAAAAAGGAAATAAAGATAATGATTAATAGGTTTTACTCTGCTTTCTTTATCACTTCGTTCTCTCTAAAGTCAGAGTAATACCATTGAAGTACTAAATCAGACTGTCAGCTTTGAAAGTGCCAACCTAATTTTCTCTCTCAAAAAAAAAAGTTCTGTTCCAAAAACTAGTGAGCTGCCTATCAAGACGGCAAAAAGATTTGTTCCCAAGGTGAAATAAATTGTGAGTCGAGCCTCCTGTACAGTTGAGATGCCGCCCATGTAGGCTGTAGACAGCAAGGCAGCTCACTAGGTTTTGGAACAGATCTACTGACTTTAAAGCAATGAGATTCTTCAGTGACCCCAGCCCGAGTCCTGTAGATGCCACCTTGGCTGGCAGGGGAGTTTATGGAGTTTGTAAGCCATTCTGCTGATTGGTTTATCATGGGGAAAATGAGACTTAGCAGTGCCCGAGGGCAGATTACTGACCCCAGGGCCTTATGGGAGCGAGGAAGACTATGGAGCTTATAGAGACAGCAGCTATAATGAAGAGAACTGGCTAAAGGAAGGCTCAACAGTCCAGAGTCACAGAGCCACATGAGAGAAAGAGAGAGGTTTTCAACTTCTGTACCATCCTCTGAAAGTCCACACAGATCATCTCAAGAGGACAGCTCTCACACCCAGAGGTTTGGACAAAATAATTTGGACCCAACTTTGTTTTGTTTACTTTTTTTTATGTTGTTTTAGTTTTACCTTAATCTTTTTTTATTTTCCAGCCATGAAAACTGGTGTGCCAAAAAGAACAGTGTTGCTTACAAAGCCAAAAAGATGGTAAGATGATTATAAGATTAAAAGAATTATTTACGAAAGTTTGGGAACCCCTTGCAGAATCTGTGAAGATGTGAGTAATTTTAACAAAATAAGAGAGATAATACAACATGCATGATATTTTTTATTTAGTACTGTCCTGAGTAAGATATTTTACATAAAAGATTTTTTACATATAGTCCACACGACAAAAAAATAGCTGAAATTATTAAAATGACCCCCTTCAGAAGTTTGGGAACCCTTGGTTCTTAAAGGGGTCATATGATGCGATTTCAATTTTTCCTTTCTCTACTGTGTGGTGGTCAGTTCACACTGATAGAAATTAACCTTTTCCAGTATGAGTTTAAATTAATTTTTACCTTTTAATGGGAATTTTTAAATGTATAAAGACATTGGGCAGCCATATCACCCTGTAGCCCAAGACTGGTTACCCACTGAAGCCAAGCAGGGCTGAGACTGGTCAGTACCTGGATGGGAGACCTCCTGGGAAAACTAGGTTGCTGCTGGAAGAGGTGTTAGTGAGGCCAGCAGGGGGTGCTCACCCTGTGGTCTGTGTGGGTCCTAACGCCCCAGTATAGTGATGGGGACACTATACTGTCAACAAGCACCGTCCTTCGGATGAGACGTTAAACCGAGGTCCTGACTCTCTGTGGTCATGAAAAATCCCAGGATGTCTTTCGAAAATAGTAGAGGTGTGACCTCGGCATCCTGGCCAAATTTGCCCATTGGCCTCTGACCATCATGGCCTCCTAACAATCCCCATATCTGCTGATTGGCTTCATCACTCTGTCTCCTCTCCACCAGTATGCTGGTGTGTGGTAGGCGTTCTGGTGCACTATGGCTGCCGTCGCATCATCCAGGTGGATGCTGCACACTGGTGGTGGATGAGGAGATACCCCCTGACAATGTAAATCGCTTTGAGTGCCTAGAAAAGCGCTATATAAATGTAATGAATTATTATTATTATTTTTCTAAAAGTGTGCTTTATCTTTTGAGTCAAATCCTTACATATGATCAGTGAATTATAATAATAAGACATTTGGGCTGTTACCAAGCAAATGAAATCAGTATCAATAAAACGTATCTTTGCAATGCAGAGGAAACACAGAAGCTTTATCTGAAGTGGCATTTAGATGTACTGTTTAATGCAGAACATGAATGCTTAAACCTGCAATTACAAATGCATAAAAAATGTTTGATATATTAAACATAAAACATCGAATAATGTTATTCGAAATTATCTAAATAATAAAAAAAACTTTAAATGTGAAATTAAAACCGCCAGCAGGTGGAAGCAAGTCACTGTTATCAAGTGAGTCATTGCGATTGAACCGAATCAATCAAATGTTTAATTAACATCTTGTTTTTTGAACTGTTGTAAAAAATCAATAGGCTATTTGTAATCATAGTAATTTCTGGAGAAAAAAACGGCACTTTTTGCGTGATATTGATTAACTATATAAAATGATATAAATTGATAAATTTTCTCCCCCCATTTTCTCTTGAATTTTGTGATTTTATTTTAATTGACTGAATCATTCAGTGAAAGAACGGAGCCGCGCACTAGTCTAGATTTCACATAATATATGCGTTGTAGAAGATTTTCAGGGATCTTAATTCAATATAATACATATAATTATGCCTATAAATAAGACGACATTATTCTACAATTATTATTTAAAAAGACTATGTGAAGTAACGTCTCAGTTAATCCGTGTAGACCACAGCATGCCTGGAAAATTTCACAACATAATTGGCACCCCAGATGGGACAGGAGACAGGGCAAAAGAGTGAAAAGCTGCAGCGGGCTCTCTCTGGATAATTGGCACAGACCGTGGCCACGAGGTAAGCATTTTTGCTTATAAAATACGTTTGGTTAATTCTCCAGAGATTGCCAGTTGTGGTAAGAAAACTCTAAAAAGCTCTTCCAAAGAAATTTTAAGAACCAACAGAAGAAAAGGGGTTTTGAATCCAGAATTAACTGTAATCATTAAATGTTGCATGCAGATGTCTTTGTTTACTGCATAGTTGCAGTGGGCGCGCAGAAATAATTTATGGTACCGATTACAGGGGGTTTAGTTTTTAGTAAAAATCCTGAAAGATGGTGGTTTAGTTTGTAGTCAAATCCATGGTGGATAGTTCTTAGTAAAAATCCTGAAAGATGGTGGTTAGTTCTTAGTAAAATTCCATGGTGGTCATAAGAAATATTACATAATAGAAAATTATTTGTAGTATTCCTAGATAAGCATAGGTAGTGTATTGCTGCTTGCTCTTTTCTTGCAACGAAGAACTGCTTTACTAAAAATAGAATGGAAGAGATGCTGTTGTCAATCAGTGAGATTTTTAGCATTGAGACACCATTGACAAACATGGTTGAACATAAAGAGCAGATTGCTCAAACACACTTGGAATTAGAATTAATAAAAGTTCTCTTGAGTGTTCAAATTACAGAAGGTTTCTGGAACGGTGCCTTGAAGAATGGAAGAGACGAGAGGAGAAAAAGCAAAGACACGGCAGCACAGAGAAGGAGAGAGAGTGGCTGATAGGCATTCAGCCCCCCCAACAATGAAAGTTGACACTTCTGAGAAACTGATACAGGAAAAAGACTGACTTGATACAGGAAAAGGTGAAACTTTCACTTGAGACTTTTCCTGAAAACAAAGAAAGCATCAGGAGATGTAAAATCGTGGTAGGAATCAACAAAAAGCCACATTGAACAGAGGCAGAGAAAAATCAAAGCCAATATTGCACTTCACATCATCTGGCCTTTGAGGGCCTTTGAGTGACATCACAAGCTGATGACCCAATGCAACAGTCAAAGACTTCAACAGATTGATCGTCCAACAGAAGAACTTCCATACCTTCCTTTGTGGGCACAGGTGCGAGATATCCAATGATCACTCTAGAGAACGCTTCAAATTTGTTATTTATTATAGTAACTTAATATATTTTGATTATTCACTGGTCTTACTTCTTACAGCTGCATTCTCTGCTAAACTAACATTCTCTGTCTGCTATTTCAGTAGCTACCAGTCCAGCCACCAGCCATCAAATAAATAAAAATGAAAAGAGAAACTTCATTGATAGAAAAAGTGGGTGCTCAACTCACAAATTATTTGAAACTAAGGCTGGATTTAGGATAGTGAGGGTTACATCAAAAGCATGATTTAG